TTTCTGCCTTTGCAGCATCTCTCTCTTTCTGTCTGTTAACACTTTAATTGACCTTCTGGGTTTGGTGGTCTCCTCTGTCAATATTTGTGCTTACTTATGAAATTTTATAGGGCTTCTTTATTCCCGTTGCTGACTCTTAAGTTTTCTTTAAGGTGGAGACCTACTCCTCCATCAATCATTCAGTTTTTATGCTGATACTGCACTGATAAACTTCCTTCAGCAGACTTAGTATACAGACAGCTAAACTTAAATTAGACATCCCATTTTCCATTTCAGGACTTCAGGTACATTTATACCATCTTATTAGCCATCAGCTCTTGGTTTTATTGCCTGTTCTTGTATACCCTTGAATCTTGAATATGATGTTGTTGTTGGGACTGGTCAACTGGTCTAAAGGGGAATCTTCTATCCTTTACCAGACTTTAAAGAATAAGTCATCTGAACAGTGCACTCTGCTGTAGTTGTTGACTTCCCTCGTATTCTCTTTAAAAATTACCCCAAAGTCTTCTTAAAATAAAGTGCCAGCAGCCTGGTTCCTGAGGAGAGATTCTCAGAAATCAGGACAGTGTTGTGTGTTTTGGGTGTGAATGATGTGCCAAATTTGGGGAATTAGAGCCTATCTATATAGGTCTTGGAGACCTTTCTGCCTGCACAAAGGTTGGAGATGCTAATTTGTATGCTGGTGAGAGGGACTACACTACAAACCCTAATGACTGATGGTCTCTGTAAGTAGGGTAGCACAGACTGTTGCAGAACCAACCTTGTTTTTAAATTGCTTTATTTTCCCAGCCCTGATGTAAGAGGTGTGGAGAAGGGAGAAAAGTTATTTTTCACTTGCTAAGGCATCTTTAAATTTTCTGGTTAGCTGGGTTACAGTGTTGTCTGTTGGGCTGATGGTGGTGCAGGCACTGGCTTGCTGAGAACCAGGCTAAAAATCTCCTTGTGAAAGGTCAAGTATGTGCTGTATAGTACTCATTGGGTTGTTGAGAGCTTGTCTTTGTTGCTAAAATGGTATGAATAAGCCAGGGTCTGTGAGTATCCTCCAGGAAATCTTCAGTTTTAGTGAAGTCAAGGGGCCTCATCTTCATAGGAGTAGTACTATCAGTTGCTCTGAAGTAGCAATAGGAGCTACATTTTATATGTTTGCTGAGATTTTTTTTCCTCTTCTACCATCTAGTCCTTCACAAAGGTTTAACAAACTCCTAATGGATAAAAGTGGTTCCTTTTTTGGGAGCAGAAGAGAAGACAAAACATCCATCTACATTTAGAAAAATTGTTTAGGTCTTCTGAAAAGACAACAGCAGTGTCCAAGAAAGCTGAGTAAGTCTGTATCCCATTGGGTAAGTGATGACTATAGGACTTCCCAGTAAAGTATTTCTGAACAATTTGCAAAACAGATTCTCAATACCCTCTCTGCTAGGTACATCAGATAGATCCTTTTTCAGGAAGGAGAAGCTAGAGGGAGACCCGAAAAGAGTGAATCTTGACTGTGGGCCTGGAGAAACTTACGTCAGAGGTCAGAATAAAGCATGGATCTCTCCTCCTTTCCTGTTCTTGTTTTGCTATGGTTCAGCAGCTCGTGATTGCAGCTCATTCAGTAGCACGTGATTGCAGAGAGCGGGAAGCCAAGAAGCACCTAGCGCAGGAATCCAGCCCAGTTCTTCCAAGAACGAAATGGTGATAAGACAAAGGATCAATTTCCAGGCAGGTGTTTATAGACCTTATTTGGTAAAGGGTGGAGGGGCACACATGAGACCTGATATGTAAGAGCTAGTAGGGCTCTTCCCTCAAATGGAAAGGAGCAATGTTGAGAGTCTTTTCCTTGAAGCTTGAATCCTTGGGAATGCTAAGGAGTGAAGCCCAGTGTGGCTGTGTTTCTGGGCTGAGCAGGCACGCCAGAGCCACAGGCCTGCACTTTGGCCACAAGCAGGGCAAAATAAATGTGCTGCAGAGACAAATAGGCTTCTGCCCTCTAGGAGCGATCTCTGAGCATCTGTTTGGTGCAGTTGCCTTTTCTGTGCACTCTTCTGTGCAGCTGCAGGCTTGTTTCCCTCGTGCAGAGAAGGGGGAGGTGTGCAATTTAATAAAGATCAGAGGTTGAAGCCTCTAAGCCAGCTGATAGTTGTGCTCGCTGTTAGTCAGTGAGTCTCAGGGGTCAGCGGGCAGTGCAGAGGAGGAGAGCAGACCTGACTCACTGTGACGAGAGGCTGGGCATAGGCCATGTCTGAACAAAGTTGAGCTCTGGCAAGTTTAGTCCTATGTCAGAGATTGCCTGTGCTGGGTGGGTGTTAGGAACGTTTAACCTTCCTAATGGTCTCTTAATTTTCCTCCTAAGCTCTTTCAGTCCTTGACTTGCTATCTGGGACAGCACAATTTGTGTCTGTCTTCAGTCCTTTTGACCAACACCCGAATGTTCTCATTCCTGACAGTGCCCTGAAGCAGTGGGGCACACCTGTAATCTCTTGGTCACTCATCCCACCAGCTCCCTGTGATGTCCCAGCACCAAGAAATGAACTCTGGCACAGATGCCTGTTGCTGATCCTGACCCAGGCTATTTGAGGTCCCAGTGGAGTGCATTGTTTGACACAGCAGAAGTTTGACCAGACATGGTTGAAAGTTACTTGTTTGTAAGCTAAATAGGGTGTCTGAACCTAGCAGATAGAATGCTTATGTTTCAAACAGAGCTTCCTGTCTCAAAAATCCCCCAGCTGGATGGAGGAGGAGGGAGTTTGTAGGGAGTTTTCTGGGGCTGGATGGCGCAAGCTGATTTTTATCCCAACTACCAGATATAGCACCTGAAGTGTATTTGTTCTGTGATCTTGATCCTGGCCTATGAGTGGGTCTTCCAAAATGAGTTAATCAGCATCCCAGAAACATGGATATGTGACAGAGGAAGCATGCGGAAAGCACAAGGAGTTTTTGCTAGAAGGCAGCCCAGGCAATGTGTCTGAGCTCATGCCTGGGTTACAGGGCTCCTGGGTCGTTCTGCTCTGTATGCTGTCATGCTTGGATGTGGTTTATGAGCAGCATAGTCCTTGCCTTTCTTAGTCCTTGCTTTCCATACTTATAGACTCTTTCTAGGGACTATGAAGACATTGAGCACTGCAGAATCCTTCTGTAGGGCAGCGGTTGGCTAGTGGTGCTGTCTTCCTGCTGTTCATTCATCACTGAGGCATAAAACACTATCCTCTCCAGCCCATTATCCTGCGACAACGACAACGGGTCATGGTGATGCTAATTGATTCCTATTGATCCATTGTTTCCTATAAGGAAACAGTAAATGCAACGGGCTTAATTTGACTGTATTCTCATCTCCATGTTTTGCATACTCCTCCCTCTTAGTGTGATGAGAGCAGTGGCTCTATAGAGGCTGTATTGGTGTAGCATAAATAACCACTGGGGGTGGGATTTTTTTTATGCTGCTAGTCTGTATTGGTTCAGCTAGCGCTGTTCTGGTACTGTTAGCACTTTTCTGTCTCCGGGCGAATGGTACATGCCTGCAAAAGAGATTGGAAATCTCTGTTTCAAGCAAGGATGAGAATGGCTGCATGGCCACCTGGCATGTCTCTTTCTTGGGTGCTTTCTCACTCCTTCCACCTACTGGAGGCTCTTGTGTGTGCCTTGTCACTGTCCACAACAGCAAACACAGGCTTAAATCAGGAAATAGCAAAAATGAGGGTGTTGCTAAACAAAACATTGCTTTTGCCCCAAATGGGTGGGTGTGCAGAGCCTTGAGAGCAAGCAAGAGCTGAGCTTGAGCATGGCTCTTTTTCTGATGTCTGAGAGGGCTGCAGGTACTGGGAAGGGCCAGGGGAACAGGTAAACACACAGTGCTTGGGAACCAAACGGTGATTGAAATGCACCCACAAACAGTGAAACACAAAGGGGGGAAAAGTGGCTTTCACAGGCTCCTCTTGTGTTTAGAGTGCTCATGAATGTGCTGAGTGCATTTTGGTTCCCACTTCATGAAAAGAAGAGTGTGCTCCTAAGCACCAAAGCAGTTATTTCTTCTCTTCTCTCTCCCATTTGAGGGTGGCACTGAAGGTCTGTGCCACTGTCAGTCCCACTTACCAGTTTGGCAAAGCCTGTGCTGCTACAGCTCCTTGTTGCTGTCCTGGAGAAATAGCTGTGGAGTTAAAAGCCCTAATATCCTCACTAAAATATGTGCTGCCACTGCAGGAGCTCCTCAGCCGGACATGTGGGGCTCTCGGCACAGTAGAGGCCAGCGATGCAGGGGTTTCTTCTTGCAGCCCTTCATAGCCAAGCATTTTATCCAGGGGCAGTTGTCAAGCCCCATCACACAACCTCAATGTTTAGGATATGTGCTGTCAGCACTTCCTCCACTCTCAACCTTGATGTTTTTCTAGGTTCTCCTAGCAGTCATAGGGTGAGCCTTGTCTTGGGAGGGGGCTCAATAGGAAACAGTGTCATAAAGTGGATGAGCCAGATTAATATCTCGCTCATTAGGAGTGGGCAGGTTTCTGTCTCGGCCCTTGCGCTTGTCTGGCTGGAAAATAAATTGGTTCAACTCATTAACCCAGCAAAGAATTGTGGTGGGTTTTGACAGTTTGTTTTCTGCCATTTTTAATGAGCAAGATTCGATTATCAGGTGATCAGGCCAGCACCAGAGCAGGTGCAAGATGAGGAGTGGGATGTGTGCGTGAACAGGAACATATATGCATGGGGGAGGTCAAGGGAAGCAAGACCTCCACTTAGATGGAGGCAGGTGTTTATTCTGCTCAATTCTATTGTAATACCTTGCCTTGAATATCCTGACAGTTGTGAGTGCAATAGCGGGACCTCTCTTATGGTCTAATTGCAATGGGTAGCTGACTTTTATCTCTTAATTGTTGGGTGGTAAAGAAGATTTTCACCTTGGTTGTGAAATTGGATTAGGGTCAGTTAGCCCTTACTGGGCATCAGGGGGCTTAGCTGTGGGGTGGTGGCAGTGTTGGGGTTCCATGTCACACCTCTGTGTGTTCCCTCTCTCTCCTGCTTAGCTCGGCATTGCTGTGGGCTTTCTGGTCCCTCCAGTTCTGGTTCCCAATGTGGAGGATGTGGAGAAGCTAGCCTACCATATCAGCATCATGTTCTTCGCAACTGCGGGCGTGGCAACAGCCCTATTCATCCTGGTTGTCGTAGGTAAGGAGGTGGGAGTGTACATAGGTGGGACTGAGAAGATCAGCCTCTGTCTGTGAGGGGCCTGTGTGCTAGGAAATGGGCCGGGGAGGTTATCTGGGGATGTGTCCTAGCACACAGCTGACAGGGTCATGCAATACCATATTGTGCTGCTTCAAGCCCTTGATGAACAGCACGTGTAGGGGGGTGTACTAGAGGTTGTGAGTGAGCCTGTCAAATTGTTCATTTCATTCTTTGATCGCCTGCGTAATAAAACCCTGGCATGAGTAAGTCCTTTAAAAGCCAACAGAAATCTTCTAAGGTTCACAGTCATCTTACCTGCAAACAGGGTGCTGGGCCTTGGATTATGTCTTAGACCTGACTATCTCTTAAGGGTAGGGAGAAAGAGGCAGGTTATATGGCATCACAGGAACAAGGTGTTCCCAGGAAAAAAAAAGGTAACCAGTTATGAGTGGAGAGAAGGAAGCATTAAGGACAGTAGCAGGACACCAGAGGTGCAATTCGCCTGCTTAACATGTGAAGTGGAAGCCACATCTTTAGGATGAAAGATTGGCAGGCTCACTGGAGAGCAGAGCTTGTCTGCTGAACTCCATGTAATTTTTTTTTTTTTTTTTATAGGCTCCTCTTGCCAGCTTGTTCATGTTGCCTGGTGGCTGAATCACATGTAGACTTTAAAGAATCTGGGGCAGGGAATAGACAAGGTACAAAAATGGCTGTCTAGCACCTGGTACAGCAGTATCACTTGCGACCAGGTTTTCTGGATGCTACTTTAATGCTAGTTAGGGACAGCAGATGGCTTGGCCAGCCTAAGAAGTGCTGGGACTGAAATAAAACCTGGCATGGGTCATTGCTCTCTAGGCACTGGGCACTGCAGGGCTCCAGGCCACCTTTGCAAGCTGGCTTTTCCCATTCCACTTTTGCATTTGTAACTCCATGCAACACTTTCACAGCTGGCTGGCCACCCTCCTGGAGACAAAGCCATTATTAGTTCTGAGAACTCTTTTGTTGCTGCCAGACACCGCCTACACAAAAAGCTAATTGACGGCAAGGTGTTTCCCCAGTGGCAGGCGTTATTGTTGGAGAAACCCTCTTCATTCCTGGTCCTGGATAAGCTCATGCATGGAAATCAAAGCTTAAGGACAATGGTGTGTTTTGTATACTTGGTTTTACTAGCCCCTCTGCCATCCCTCAAATGGCTCTACCCACAGTGTGTGCTCAGGCTCCCTGATTGCACCATTTACAAACAGGTGTATTTTGTATCTGGTTTCAGTCTTTAAGGAGAAGCCCCCATACCCTCCGAGCCGAGCTCAGGCCTTGATCCGGTCAAGACCAACAGAGGAGTATTCCTACGTGCAATCAATCCTCTGTCTGCTCCGCAATGGCAACTTTTTGCTGCTTATGGTCACTTACGGTAAGGTCTGGCCTTTCCTCTCTGCAGTTATCACTGCTAGACATGCTTAGCTCCTCCTTCCCTCTCCGTGCTCTGCTGGGGCAGTAACTGGCCTGAGTTTTTCTAGGAGAGCATAAGGATAGCTGTGCTGCCACAGACCAGGAATCCTTCTAGCCCAGTAATCTCCAGCAGTGGTTACAAGCAAAGGCCTAGGGAAGAACAAAAGCAAGGGAAGCACACAGAGGATAATATGCCTCCACTACTGTTCTCCCAGTCTTGGACTGTTTTCTGTTCAGGGGATTTCCTTATCCTGTTGTCTTTTTTTCTAGTCAGTTAGTTACCTGCAATGAACTAATCTAAGTGCTTACCTAAGAAATACACGGAGCTGTGTCTGAGTGCAAGTCGCAGCACTGAGTGAAAGTAATTTCCCAAGCAAGGGTATGGCTGCCAGTGGAGGTCATGTGGAGCATGTAGATATACAGGCTGTGTCACTTCCTTGGCAGTCCCTATGAAGCAAACGGAAGGAAGGATTGGAGAACATCTTATTTTGCCATCTCTCCTTGCACACTGGGTTTGCTGCTTGCTTCTCTTTAGCAGTCTTGGTCTGTTTCTCTGAGGGCAGTGTGATGTGTTGAATCTGTTCCTGATGCTGAATTGTCATATGGAAAAGTATTTTCCTCTTTAGCAGAAAGGCCATTGCGGTCTATGCCTGGCTGCATAATAGGGTATACTGTAGCCAGCTAGTCGGCAGGGAGTTCTGTCCTCACTTCCTACCAGCTTGCTGTGGAAGCTCCTCAAGGGGGAAAGTTAAATAGTGCTGGAAGTTCTGCAGTTCTGCCAGCAGCGTGCCTAAAGGGGCGAGTAGCCAGGTTGGAGAGAGTGAGATGGTGGCTTTGTACCTGCTGAGGGTGCTAACAGTCTTTGGAGTTGTTGAAATCTCTTCTCCCTTCTCAGTCCAGTAGTCTTCTAGAAATGCCCCTCTTGGATCGCCCTTAAGCTCTGCTGGTTTGCATTGCAGCTGCTAGGTTGTTTTTTTTTTTTTTTTTGGTACATGATGTTCTCTCAGAAAGTGGAGACAGAAAAAACTGTCAGGCAGACTGTGTCTAAAAGTTGGATTATGTTATCTGCTCAGTTTGCACTTACCCTTCCGGGAAAAGAAAGTGGAAAGTATTTGTTCTAATACGCGTGAACAAGTTGTAGAGGAGAGAGGAGGGCTCTCAGTACGAAGAGCATGTTTAGAATCTGACCTGCCTGGGATAATTCCCTTCTGGCAGTCAGAAACAATGTGGAAAGGCTGTTCAGAGGCTCATAATTATGTCTCTCTTCCTACTGGTCTGTGCATTTATTCTGTTCCTCTTTGTGTCAGCCTCACGTCAATCTCCAGCTTGACTTGAGATGGTGACTGTTACTCAGAGAGGGAACTATGCAGTGAAACTTCTTTTTTTTTTTTAACTAGTCCGGCTTTAAAATGGGGACACTTTTTCCTATTCAAGTCAAAAGTTATGTTGGCAAAGATTTAAGACATCTGCTGCCACATGAGTGCAACAGAGTGATCCTCCTTAGCTAACACAAAGATAACCTGCAGTCTCTCTTAGCTTTTTTATTAGCATAGTGTGTGTCAGGGGAGAGAGGGGGAAACCTGCTGCTTGTTCATCTCCCCTGGCTGTAGAAAGAATGGGGGCCCTTACATGATGCCAGGTCAGAACAGGTCTGCAGACCTCTAAGGTCTTGATATTACTAGCAACTGCCAACTCTTTTCCTGTGCTAAGACTTGCAGTGCTGCAAACATTGGTGGCACTGTGGCTATGGTTTTCAGGAAAACCCTCAGACAGCCTTTTCTCAAAGGCTGCTGACATTGCTTCTGTAAAGCTGGGGCATAACATGGAGTGGGCATTAAGAAGCTCTTGAGTTTATTGGGTTGGGCTCTGCACTGGCAAGCATGTTGCTACTGGGAGGCAGTAGGCAGGAAAAGGGTAGGAAAGCCTGGGAAAGGCTGGGAGTGATGAGACAACCCCAAAGAATCAGCATTTGCAAAGGTGATGGGCCAGTGCGATCTGCGTAAGGAACCATTGGCCTGGAGGATGACAAGGGTGAAGAAGAGGGAGACCAATAGTCTGGCATGTAGGCAATAGGCTGCTTAGCTATAGAAGACTTCAGTTCTAGTCTGAGGCTTAAGAAGGGCTCCTTTTAGAGCTGTAGGCAATAAACTTCCCCTTTCTGGCCTCTGTAAAATAGATGAGACATGGTGACATCTCAAAGATGTTCTTCTACAGTACGTTACAAGCAAACCATGGTAACTAGCTAATGAATCAGGTGGGGCTGGACCTTCAGATGTCCTGCTCCCAGCTACTAGTTCTGTTTTTCCTTATCTGTGTGGGCAAATGGGCACTGCCCCATTGGAAACAGCCCTTGCCTGTTTTATTGGCATTCAAACAGCTGTAATTCACCGAGAAACTTTGCTGAGCAACTGTGACATGTGAAATGCCTACAACTTTTGCCAGCCCTCACAAATGCAAATTCAGCACATTGTCTTGATTCTCAGAATATTTTGCCTGACTCTGGTGCCAAGTGTTGCTGCCAACTCTGCATTGCTTTCTGCCCAGCTTGGGCTCAGGGGCCCTTCTCTCTCTTGGAAATCACATGCATCGCAGAGCTGCTGTGAAGCTGGTCTAGTGACAGCATCAGCTACCAGAGCAGCATCTGGCTGTCCCCACAAGGCTGCTGTCCTCTTGGCTGGGTGAGAAGTAGGGGTACACAGATGACTGGTCTATGTTTATGCCCAGCTTTGAAGTGAAGCAGTAGTGGGCAGATCTGCTACACTCCCCCATGTCCTGGCACTGCAGTTTGTGTTGTCTCCTAGTGAGCAGGGTGCTCCAGAGGTGGAGATAGGATGAAGCTGAATGAGGCTCTTGTGGGCTGTTCTGCCATAGCCAAGTGTTGCAAAAAGATGGCTTTCAAGGGCGCCTCCTTGCTGTGGGATCCTCAATTGTTCTCCCCCTGCTCTGGCTGCTGGTCCTGCTGGAGTTTCCAGCCTTTCCGAGTAACTCTTCGAAAGGATTGGGTGGATTCCTCCTGCCTAAAGAGCAAGTCACTCAGCTTACTAGCCTCTACTGTAACCTTTTGACACGTGCTTTTGGAGCAGGGAGTGTTGTCACAGGCAGTTGGCTTATTTGGGATCACCTGCATAAGATTCTTCCATCTGTTCTCTGTGCCACGAAGCTGTGGAGTGAGCTCTGGTTAATGTTGTCAGAGATGGCATGTGAAGCAAGTGTGATGTCCCCTCTAGCTGCCAATATTGTGGCTTCTCAGAGTGCTTCCCGAGCTGTGTAGGGCAACGGGTGTCCAGTGTCCGAGTGGAGGAGTGGGCTAGGCGCAGGATCACTGAGGACTTCAGGGTTAGGGGAGCTCAGGGTTTTGTTTCCTTTGTCAAAGCTCTTCCTGCTAGACTGCACTTCTGTATCATGTATTGTGATGTTTCTGCTTTTAGCTGAAAGAGGAAAAGTAGGAAGTAGGAACTCGACATGTATCTGTTCTGTCAGGATTTCAGGCATCTGTGCCAATTTTTAAACCTGTGCCTCCTTATGAAGCCTATAGATGTGTGAGCTGCAGTGGTGAAATCTGTGTCTCCATCCCTCCCCCCATCAGGATCACTGAAGCCTTGAAGAGAAACTAACTGCAAATGTAAATGACTTTCTGAGAAGAAAGTTGTGCTGACTGTTACAGACCTCATCCACCTGGGGGAGGTTTCTCAGTATCGCCCAAGGTGAGAGTGTAGCCGTTGCGGTACTGCTGGTCCAGCGCCCATCTGGATGTTCTTGTCTACTATAAGCAAAGCTCTTGGGTTTTGTGCCCTTTGGGAAGGCGTTTAATTCAACCAGAGCTGCCTGTAAGCTGGAGCAGTGTCTGAATGGGGCTTGACCAGTATCACCCCAACGGTTTCCATTCTCACCTTGGGTGATACTGAGAAACCTTCACCAGGTGGCTGATGCCTCTAACAGTTAATCTAACTTCCCTTTCAGAAAGACAATTACTTTCACAGTTGGGTTGTTTTTTTTTTTCAGGCTTCAGTGATATCTTTTAAAATGCAAGACTTCTCCCATGCAGACACACACACCAGGTGCCTGGGGGAAGTGCTGTCTGTGCTTCACCACTGGCTCTGCTCCTACTTGCCTTCTGGTATTTCTTGGCTTGGAGAGGGTGTTTTTTACTGGCTCTCAGCAGGGAGGGTGCTATCAGGCTCTTCTCTAGAAGGAAACCACACAGGTCAATGGCACTGGTGTTAATTGAATCCCAGGTCCTTGTTAAAGGTGTGATGCTGAGGCGGGTGCTTTTCTAGTATTTTACCTTGACTGGGGGGAGGAGAAAACTGCAATGCTAAAGATGGATCTGGCTGTGAGGGAGGGCTGAGACCCTATGAAGGACTTGCAAGACCTTTCAGTACCAGAAATATGCACAGCCCTTCCTTTAGCTGCTCAGGTAAGAACCATCCTGAAACTGCAGGGTGCTTCCTCCTGCATGCTGAGATCTGGCTGTCTTTCGTCTGCATTTCTTTCAGTAACCTATGTCTAGCCAGTCTGGCTGGCTCTCCTGAGACTGGCAGCCTTGTTATGGATCGCTGCTCCCAAAGATCTCTCTCTCTCTTTCTGCATTTCTACCCTTTCACTACCCAGCAGGAGAGTAGCAGTCTCTGAATGTGCTGCATTTTTATCCCCCTCTCAGGTCTGAATACAGGTTGCTTCTACGCCCTGTCCACTCTGCTGAACCGCATGGTGATCCATCACTACCCAGTAAGTGCATCCAACCATCATGGCCCTCTGATGCTTGCTGTTCTCCAGAGCTGGCTGCCAAAGGAGAGTCTGTAAGAAATGCAATGCCACAGCACTTTTGGCTGGCTCTGGCACGAGGTGGCTGGCTGGCAGGAGAGCAATGGTTCTTTTAGTTCTTTACACCACCTTGTGCAAAAGCTGGCGAGCTCTAGCAAAGACAGCTCCTTTACACCCTAAATGGCAGCATTTTCTTCTGAGAAATTCTTCCAGCAATAGCCTCCACCCTGTTCCTGACAGTGATTTCTACTGGGACATCTGTACTAGGAGGCTGCCCACACTCATGCTCTGGTGGCAGAAGGGTGGGGTGCCTCAGTAGCTGAGCTACTGTAGAGCTTACTGCTGGGGCTGCGTGCCAGAGGGCTCCCTTCTGTGCTGCCTTATAGTGGGTCCCAATATTTCCTGGTCGATCTGGCCCAAATCCTAATACCAGACAGCAGGCTTCACAGGGTTTATGCTGACTCCTCTGAACGTGTCTGTTCACGCTCCCAGTGCTCACTTTTTTCTCTAGTCTGGCTCAGAGAGAAGTGCCAAACCACTTTTCTTCATGGGCCAGAATAGGGCACTGCATTGGCTCATAGTGGGCCCAAAAGTGTTCTTGCAAAGGCTAGTTCTGGTTAGTGTGTTACCAGCAGAAGACATGTATGGGACACTAACTTTGGTGTCTCTTCCGCTCCGTGTTCTCTGCACTTTGCTTCTTGTTGGGTATGATTTGGCTCCTGCATTTGTGTGAGTGTGTGTGTGTGTCTCACCACAGGGGGAGGAGGTGAATGCTGGCAGGATTGGACTCACCATTATACTGTCGGGGATGGTCGGGGCTCTGATCTCTGGCATCTGGTTGGACAGAACCAAAACCTACAAGTAAGTCCCTTGTTTGCCTCTGCAACAGGTTTGACTGTGCTCTTCCCCCATACTGTGCAAGGAGCAACCCTGTGCAGTTGGAACTTGGCAGTCCAGGGACTCAATCATTGGGAAGGTTTGTAGGAAAAAAATATGGTTCTTTAAAATCCAGATAGTCTAAAGTGAAGTTTGGAGCTGTGTGTTAGTCTGCATTGGGCCCATACAAGGTCTGGTGCTAGTGGTCCCTAGGGAGGCACAGGGAGAGGATGAGATGGCCCAGCAGCTGCTTTGTCAGGCATGAGAGAGTTCTTGGCACACGGAGAATCAAGACTGTACCAAACCATTTCTCAGCCCTTACAAACCAGCTTCTGTGAATCTTTGTCAGGCTTAATGAAAGGCGCATTGAATCCAGTGCCCAGAGGCATTGTGTGAGGGCGCGTTGCTGTATTTAAGGCAGACATAAGGGGTATTGGGATTGTGGGTAGACGATTTTGGGTTTGCTCCCTGGTGGTTGGGAAGGCAGATCTGGCCAGCATACCCTGCCGTCTGCAAAGGGACAGCTAAGAGTCTTCAGGTGTCCTGCAGCTCCCAGTCCTCAAGAACTCAGATCTCCCTGACAGACCTCTGTAGGGTGTCCTGGGGGATGGAGAGTGCCTCTCCTGTTTTATGTTGGGGTCTGTGTAATCAACTTTTAAGTTTCCCTGCTGGCTTTGAGAACTGTGCTACAACCTGTTGTCTGAGCAGGTTGGGTGAGAGGGGGCTTTACTGGTGGTGTGCTCATGATGAGCTGAAGGTAACTTTGGAGTTCTTTTCCTTGCAGCAGCTTTTCACCAGGGGGAGTCCCACTGCCATTATCCTACCTGGTATCTTGACCAGAAAAGCACATTGTCATTGTGGGCAGCTTAGATGAATCTGGCTAGCTGTGGGCTTGCATCTTCTGAAGTAGCCTCTGGCCCTAGCTGTCAAGTACAGGGATCAAAAATGGAGAGGAAATGGGCTTCTCTAATAAGAAAGAATGGTAGCTGAGGACTCCTGGGGTGCTGGGAAAGAGGAGCAGATGTCTAATACAGAGACTGGCAGGTTGCTTGTTGCTGTTTCTAGATCATTGTGTGCCACTGAGTAGTTCTCATTTGGCAGCCCTGGGAAATAGCAACATAGCTGTTATGAACTGCACTAGCTAACTCTGCAATGTAACTTGTGTCTCTTTCCAGCCCCAGGCTAGTGGTAAGGTAGCCTCAACTTGCACTGCTAGGGCCAATGGTCTTTCCGATTCTTCCTCAGTGGAGCTAGGTTGCAGTACAAAGGCTTTGTGGCTCACCAGGCAGAGCTGGGACTTGAAATTTGGCAGAATGGGAGAGGGGGAAAAAAACAATGATTCCTGGATTTGTTTCACTGCTCCTGCTTGCTTGGAGTGACCACAGAGGTGAGCAGAGCTGGCTGAGAGTGCAGAAAAATAGGGCTATACCACCCATGGAATTTATCCTACAGATCCCAGGGACTATCTGGGGATAGATTTAGCCTTTGGTGAGGAAAAGCACTGCTAAGAATTTGTTCTCCAGTGCAGCTCACAAAGTGGATTTCTGTGGAACTAGCAAAATTTTTCTGAGTGCTACAAAGTCTTTATTTAGCCCCATTTAAAAGTCTATTTAAGAAAACTGTCAAGATGCCAGATGTTCTAGGTAGCTACCCTCCCCCTTCCCTCCGCTGCTCAAATAGTGTCAGGAACGAAATGGTAAGCACATGAAAATCAGGAAGGAAAGATGTCAAGTCCTTTTTTTAGTCAGCTTGGAGAGAGAGAGGGAAGCAAATGAATGGCATCCAGCTGTGATTGAGGGGAGTAGGGGTGTCGTGGTTTAACCCCAGCCAGCAACTAAGCACCACGCAGCCGCTCACTCACTCCCCCCCCATCCAGTGGGATGGGGGAGAAAATCAGGAAAAGAAGTAAAACTCCTGGGTTGAGATAAGAACGATTTAATAGAACAGAAAAGAAGAGACTAATAATGATAATGATAACACTAATAAAATGACAACAGTAGTAATAAAAGGATTGGAATGTACAAATGATGCGCAGGGCAATTGCTCACCACCCGCCGACCGACACCCAGCCAGTCCCCAAGCGGCGAATCCCTGCCCCCCCACTTCCCAGTTCCTAAACTAGATGGGACGTCACATGGTATGGAATACACTGTTGGCCAGTTTGGGTCAGGTGCCCTGGCTGGGCATGAGAAGCTGAAAAATCCTTGACTGTAGTCTAAACACTGCTGAGCAACAACTGAAAACATCAGTGTTATCAACATTCTTCACATACTGAACTCAAAACATAGCACTGTACCAGCTACTAGGAAGACAGCTAACTACATCCCAGCTGAAACCAGGACAAGGGGGAAGTTAATAAGAGAAGGAATTGCAGAGCTCTACATGCGTGTTTGATCTTTACTGTCCCATCAGCAGTTCCTTGAAAGGATGAGGCTGTGCTAAGTCAGGCTTTCCCCATCTGTCATACTCAGGCCTTGCTTTTATTTGGCAGGTGAGTCCCTGCAGCAGCCCCTGCACTGTTCTTATTTCTGGAATTAGCAGGTGCAGATTTGTCCCATACAAATATGTGAGTTACATTGTGACAAGCAAGAGGTCCCAGAACTGGAGCTGTCTCAGTGGGTGGGATGGCTTGCTGAGGACAGCCTACCCTTTTGAAGGAACACATTTTGACATCAAGTTAAGTGGGGCTGCATGTACACCCTTCAGGTTCCTGGTTCAGAGGAGAGATGGGGTTGTGACATCTGGAGATTGCTGGGTGCATTGGGATTTGTAGGGGAGTCTGGCTCAGAATCAGGGGTTTGGAGTCTGGATTAATCAGCACTTCGCTTTGGCCATGCTCTGCTTTTAAGGGCAGTGATCACATAGCCTCAGGTCCAGCTGGTTCCAGACAGCGCATTCTGCTGTCATTGCTGCATCTCGGTAAGGCAAGATGTCAGAAATATCCATCTGTCTCTATTGACTAGGCAGAGGACCCCAAGTGGTGTTTTAAACTTGGGTCTGTACAGGCCCAAAGTATGTTAACATTTGGGGGAGGGAGGAAAGACTTGGATATTGGAGAATGGGGCACTTGGGTCTCTTCCATCGAAAGGTCATGCTCTCTCAGCCTAGCCTGGCCTGCAGTTTGGGTCTTCTTGTTGTAGCCCTTTTCGAGGTTAGTCCTTGTGGAGTGGATACGTCTTCACCTTGTCTTGCCATATGTCTTATATAAATAATTTACCAAGGCTGTCCTTTTTTGTGACCTTCATACAGGAAGAAGGTGGCATAAAACTGAGTGCTGAAGGATGAGGGGGTAGTGAAAACCAAACCAGCCCTCTCCAATTCTTCGCTTCTCTAGCATCTCACACCTCAGTGTCTTCAGCAGTGAGATCCTTCTGGGAGTATAGGGACGAGGCCTTTGTTCAGGGTCTTGTGCAGCCTGGAATGTGCCATCCTCATGGCAAAGCCTTTGGAGGCCATCTGTCATCCCAGTCCATACAGCAGAGCGCTCTGGAGCTGCACACAACATCCTAGTGAGCAGCTAAAGCTGTGGCATGTTGCTGTGGCCTCCCCCCCACCCCTTGTTCATTTGTTGCTTCAGATGTTGCTTGACTCCAGTGTTTTTGCAGCTCCAATCCCCTGTGAGTCTGGTCCTGTCCCTTTGGCTTTCCTCATCCAAGTGACCTTGTGAGACGTGGCTGGGCTGGGCCATGTGTTCCTTACTCCTCCTCTGGAGTTGGCTGAACAGCAGGAGTTGCGTTCTCTGTTTCAGTTCTGTTCCCTGCTGGTGCTGGCCCTGGCTAGCTTTTTTCACCAAGGTCTCTTTTTTTCTCACAGTCCCTTGTGTGAGCTCTTTAATCTGCCTCTTCAGAAGGGTAGGGAATGTGGCTGGGAGGGCAGATGAATGTCAGGGTAGCTTAGGTTCACCTAAGTGACAAGCATGTCAGCTCCTTCACAGATCTCCCTCTGGCTCTGCTGCAGAGACTTGGCAGCTGGTGCCTTTGTAGCACTGCTTCTGCATCAGTGCACTGAGCTTCCTTCCCACACCCCAGAACACAGAGGTAGGTTAGCCCCAGTTGTCCTAAGGTGATATAGCAGAATGTGTAACTTCCAGCCTGCACTCACTGCACTAGTCAGACTGTTAAGGAGACTGGTGGCACCTGTTCCAGACAATGATAATCATCAGTCCCTGTAGGGCCATCATGGGAACAGGTTGCTAAAAACACCAGAAATGCTGTGCAAATGTCCTCTGTGAACCTGCTTCTCCTCCTTTGTGTTTTTATCTCTCCCGTAAGATATTTATGGCTATGATAAGAGGCTTATCAAGCAAATCTGGGCATTATTCCATGCCCTGGTGCCCCTACGGCCACGGAGCATTCTTTTTGTCCTCTAGTGAACATGGTGACAAAGGCTGCTTCCTGAGAAACACCCTGCCTTGGTGTCTTTCCCCAGGGGTTTCTTTGCTTCCCTATGCACCAGTGTCTACCTGTGTCTCAGTTAAACCCTTTTCAAAATTTTGGGTCTGTCCTGGACTGCTGGGCACTACATCTCCTTTTTTGTCATCACTGGTATGCTCTGGGCAGCAGGGTCTTGCTAAAGTCTGGTTTAGCACGAGTCAGCTTGTGTGCTTGAGGCTATTTCCTATATCAGGAGTTGCATTCAGGGCTGTCTGTTCAAGTCCCAGTTAGGGACTGTGGCGAGCAGGCAGCCGTTCAGTGCATGGCTTCAGGGCACTTCCTGGTGTGTGATTTTCACAGCACTCAAGCCTGTGGCCTTGTTTGTTCACAAGGGTCTGTTGATTTGTTTTGCCCTGCTGGAGTCTAATGATTCAGGGAGGTCAGTGAGGAAAGCTTGAAGTCTCCTAGAGCCAGCTAATGTGTGGTAGATGAGAGACCCATGGCAAGATCAAACAGTTTTCTCCATTTTGTCCCCCAGTTAGTTCTGCAGTTCCAATGGAGAACACCTTCAAGAGCTGCCGGCTTCTATGAGCCTGCCCGCTTTATTTCTCAGTGGGGGGCTGCATGTTCTGGGAACTTCTTTCTTGCAGCTTGACTAATGACATAGCATGGATGTGAAACAAAGTCCTGACCACATCTGGTCACTAACTCATTCATCACCTTTGCCTGGAGATGAGGGGGAAAGCGCAACTGTTGGCAACTGACAGAGTGAATCAGATACAAACTACTTAGAATACTTGAACCATAAGCCTAGGGAACTGGGTGAGATTTTGTGGGCCTATCCTGAAAGCTCTGCACTGGGACCAAAACTGGCTGTGGGGAGAAATAAATATTAAAAACCCCATGTGCCAAGTGTCCCTGCTGGCAAGAGACTAAGCTTCTTAGGGCCACAGCCACCTCTTGGAGGCCTGCACTATATTTTAGCACTGACTGCCGTGCACTTTGGAAACTCCTGTTTATGGAAGAAGCACCTGGTTCAAACTTGGTCTGTGCAGCCCAGGGAGCTGTAATTCTAGCCTTGAATACCTTTCCTAGTTAGCACTTTTCCTCCCCGGCTGCGTGTCAGGGGATGGGAAGCATAAGAACTCATGGGAGATATCTGAGGAACCTGTATTGAGCAGAAAGTCTTTTACCTGCTTCTCTTTCACTTTCTGGGGCTGCTCTCTAACTCCTCTGTCAGTCTTTTGGGTCTTCTTCTCCTGCAGTCCCCAGGCTGTGTGCTGGCCACGTAGCAGCTCTCTATAGTGGGTTATAGCAGAAGTAAGCAGCCCCTTTATGCTGCCTTCACAGACAACTTTTTTTCTCCATGACAGCATTGGGAAGAACATATTCTAGAAATGATACAGCATTGGAGGTTAAGAGATTTGCCTACTCCTTTGATGCAAAACAAAATTACTTGTCACAGCAAAATGTCGTTCAGCCTTTCAATACATTAAATGTGTCTGGTGAACCTTTGTAAGCATGGATCGATAGTTGAAGTCTGAAATTAGCTTCTCAAGCCTGTATTTGGGTACAAATTGATGTATGAGCATGAGCCCCACGGACTTCAGCCATTGCAGCAGTGAGGGAGGACAGAACCCTAGCTGGAACATTCTGGTTTTATCTGTAGTAGTTCAGTGTACTGCAAACATTTTATTACACAATATAATACTGGCTGCCTGTTTGGGTTGGATTTTTGACGGTGGTCATTTGCATTAAAAAGGAAAAAAAAAGTGAAAAAGAGTTTGAGGTTTAGTTTCTTTAGTAGAGTTCTAGAAACTGATACCAAACACATTCTTTAATGGATTAAGACTAAAATTTGGTAGAAAGTACACAATTAGCTCGTGGTTATATATTTAACTTCTTCCTAAAAGACAATAGCCAAAAAGTTTTGTCAGCTGTGGTAACTGTTCTGCTTTAAAGATCCTGGTGGAATTTCAGTCAAGTAAAGGATTTATCATTCCTTCCTTCCCCAAACTATGTACTGTGAAGGGCTACTTGCTAGGTCCTGTACTAGAAAAAGCCTTGGGTTTTGGATGTGGGAAGGATTTCCTTGGTGTCTAGGCAGGGATGACAACTGCTAACGTTTCAGTTCTGGTAAAGCTGGCCTGGGCTGCTACATGTGTTTTGCAGTACCAAGCCCACTGATGTTCCTCAGTGTGGCCAGGCTGCAGGTCTGGCTATTCCCAGGATCTGCCTGGTGTGCTTCCAGGGCATGGGGTCTCTTTGTCCCCTCTACCCAGAGAAGAGTGCTGGTGGCTCAGCTGCCCTTGGCCCTGGAACTGGCACTAGCCCTGCTAAACGCTCCTGTGGCTTGAGGGTGAGGCTATGAGGGCAACCTGGCTTGCACATCACCTCTCCAAGTACAGTAGGCAGTTTAAACACAGAAAGGAGCAGCAATGAAAGGTGTTTTGGATAGCACTGAAAAATACGGGCCCGTAACACTGTAGCAGTGTTGTCACCTCTTCCCTTTACTTTCCTGCTTGGGAGTGCTCAATTGCCTCAGCTCCTGCTTATAAGTAAGCGTATCCAACTGGTTATAGTACAGAGGGTGCCCAAGAAAGACTAATGATCTCTTTATTTGGCTCTTGCTCTTCCCCTCAAGAGGCATGTACAGTAGATGACCAGGGACTTGTCAACCCATGGTAGGATCTGAGCTTCTTGGCTGCCTCATAGGTGCCTCCTTATAGGTGTGATGCCCCGACCCCACAGGGAGCAAAGTCCCTGGTCATGAGGTAGAGATGTGAAAACTCCTAGGTGCTGTTCTTGCTTCTCCTGCTGCTCTGCTGTGCGTACAGGTGCTTTCGTGCTCTGTCAGTCCAGTTCTTCTGTCTGGGGTAAGGGTGTCAGAGAGCTGTGCAACTTTTTTTTTTTTTAACCACATGCTGCAAACTATACCAAGATCTGTGGGCGAAAAGGAGGAGTGGATTAAATAATACCCTGACTCTGTTTTTTCTTGTAGACAGACAACACTAGTCGTCTATATCATGTCTCTGGTGGGAATGATAGCCTACACCTTCACTCTGAGCCTAGGCCACCTCTGGGTGGTCTTTGTGACTGCAGGCATGCTGGGGTAAGTTCATGTGCAGGCTGCTTTCCTCTACATGTGAGCTGCTAGTGGATGAGCAGGGAGGCAGAGCTTATGGTGTAGGAGGGATTGGGGAGAGCTATAGCCTGTGTGTGGCTCCTGCATTGTTTAAGGACAAAATGATCTGCTTTTCCTCTCTCTCTCTTGTATGTATTTCATTAGGGTCAGGGACATTAGCATGGTCCTGCGCAGCTGCAGCTGCCTTAAATGTTCCAAGTAATTAAGTGAAAGTATTTGGGAAGCAAGTGGTACCACAGCCCCATAGATGACGAATGGGCAGGAATGTAAAGCATATGGGCCTGGGTGGCTGTTTGACCATGCTGGGGATGATGCCCCTTAGAGTTACTTGTGGGAGATGCTCCTTTTAATGCCTCACTCTTGTAGCAACCAGCAGCTCCCTGCTGGCCTGGCTCTGTGCCTTGAGGCTGTGGGTAAAGGTATTTCTGGGTAGGAGGAAGACCTGTGCCATGGTGAGGGAGTCGGACAGCTGCCTGAGCTGTGACAATGCTAGGGGAAACATCCTGTGCAGTCAGTGAAGCATCCCCAAAGGGGTATGGGCTACACTGTGCGTCTTCAGTCTTCCTTCTGGCAGTTGCTGAGTCTTCCTCTCTGTGTGTTTCTGTACAGGTTTTTCATGACAGGATACCTTCCCCTGGGCTTTGAGTTTGCTGCAGAGTTGACATACCCAGAATCAGAAGGAACATCATCAGGGCTCCTTAATGTCTCAGCACAGGTAGGTGTGTTGTTTTCCCTTTGCTTGCCTCTTTACAGGCAGAAAGATTAAATTGTAGTTCCCAGCCTTGACTCCTATTTCTTGTCCATGATTATTGTAACATACTGCAGATCTAAGCACCCCAGGACCTGGCTTTTTGAATGATGCTCCTCATGGCATTTCTCTAGTGGCATCCATTCTGTTTCTGCTTAGGAAAATCCATCAGGATGCCAGCCATCCTTGCCTTTTCCAACATTGCTCCTAACAGCCTAGGACCTAGCTCTTCTCCAGTGAGAGATGGGATTCCAGCCTTAACGGTCACCCGTCTTCCCATCAGCTGCATGGAGGTGCCTCTGGGTGTGTTTATAACCAAACTTCAGCCGCGCTAGGCCAACAGCTTGGCTGGCCTGTATGCTCTGATACTTCGGTAAAGCTGGGAAGCTCTTTGGGCTGCTTTATAATAACAGTACATCTTGACACTGCCTTTGTTTGTTTGTAGATTTTTGGTATTGCTTTCACCATCAGCCAAGGGCAAATCATGGATTGCTTTGGGACAAAGGCAGGAAACCTCTTTCTTTGTTCCTTCCTATTCCTGGGGACTGTTATGACAGGTAATTAAATTTTTCAGTGTTCTCTGCTGTGGCTGTTCCCCTTGGGCTTGGCATAAGAATTGAAGGGCTTTTGTGTGTAGTGGTGCCTGCTGGAAAGGGCAAGACCCACACAGCAGTCCCATAGCAATGCTGCTGTGCTTCTTCAAGCATCTGGTCTGTGTTACAAAAGAGATCCAAGGCTTCTTGCCCTAGCTGCTGGCTGGGGTCTCAAAGATGCATCTTCTATGTGCTCAATAAGGAGTCTCTATCCTGCCTGTTTTGGAAGTGCTCTCTGCCTTATCCAGGAGAATGGTTTCCCTTGCTCACCGTAACACGTTCCTGTCTCCTCTGGGGCCTCTGCTGCCCCTTTGAGTCCTGGGGAAATTGATTTGGGCTCTGCATGGTAACTTAACTGCCTTCACATCTCTCTTCCTCTCTCTGTCCCAGCATTCGTTAAGGCTGATCTCCGAAGACAGCAGGCCAATTTGGATAATGAACAGACAGTGAGTAAACCTCCCTTCAGTCCCTGCTGTGCCCCTGCTTTTAGCTCAGGACAACACCCAACCTCTCCCCTTTCTAGGAATGGGGCTGGCCCTTCCTGAGTTATGATTGCAGCTGCGATTCTCTTCTCTTATCCCACCACTTGCCCAGCCTGTGGGGAAGCTCCTTGTTGGCATTTTCAGACAGGTGGCTGTAATCTCAGCTCTGGCAGCTGCTGGAGCCTCTGTTTTCTTACTGTTAATGTCACGGAGAATCTGTAAGCTCTGGTCCTTTGGGAGTCTGCAGGGCTTCACACATCTTTGTATAAGCTAGGGACAGATGTAAAGCAGCAATGTGCTCACTTCTCTCCCCTGGCAATGCACTGAGCCCTCCAGTGTTTTGCTGTTGTTTAGAGCTGGGTAACTATTATTCCAGGCCCCTAGGGAGGCAGGTTATTCCTCTTATTCCTTGTCCTCAGCTGCCAAGTGGGGTTCAGTGTATGGGACTGGAGGAAGATAGGTGGCAAAGCCCAAATGAGAGCTTGAGCAGCCTGGCTCACTTTGTGCAGTGCTGCAGAGAAGGCTGCTAGTTCATATGTGTGCACCAGAGCTTGGGGTATGATGTCCCTGTGGCATGCTGTGCAATAAATGCAGCTGTTTGCATGTGGGAGAGGGGCTCTGGTGAACTAATTGCGGTGGATACTTGTTAGAAGCTCTCCCTGCAGGGAAAGGGAAGAGACTGGTGGTTGTTTGAGGCTCTTTTCCTTATTGCTCTGGGCTCCCCTTCTAGGACGTTAGCAGAGACGTCCACTCAACGTTCATGAAGCCATCAACGACGATGACTAGCAAAGTGCATAAGCTCAGTTTTCTGCTGGCTCAAGTCAGGTCTTTTCAGAAGACAGTGCTGCCTTCCTCCAGATAATCTAACCAGTCTGATCTGGAGAGAGACCAGAAGGTCCAAGAAGCAGCTCTGCTCCGACCGGCTGCTCAGGAAGGTGGATTTTCAATTACAAAATATATGCTTTTTTATTTTTATTTTATTTTTTATTTATTTTTACTGAACTATCTCAGCACAAATGCAGAGAGTAGGATAAGTAAAGGGAATTGATGCTGTCTTGAGTAGTTCTTGCACATACAATTCTAGACTAGAGGGCGGGGGAAAGGCTGTACAATGTTATCTAGTTTGGGTAAAGGAGTCCCGTGTGTGTGTTGCCCCCCCCCCCACTTGTCATTACTTAAAAAGAATTCCTACTTTTTTTCTGCTCTGAGGCTTACAACTTTGGATGATTTTAGCAGTGGCAAGCATCATGGTGCATGGGACCAAGATAGAAGACAACTGCTCTCCCAAAATCCTGGTGTGAATGGGGCTAACTGGAACACACTTAGCTAAGCTGAGCTGGGGTAAAGACCAGTCTGTTTTGATATACACCAAACTGCTTGTATCCCTCAATTAACAGTGCTGAAGTCAAAGGCAGAAGATGAACTGTAAGGCCAGTCCATCCTCTGCAAGCCCTGAGGCAGCAGGGTTATAATGAGAGGTGCTGGTGGCACTGTGAGTTAATTTGTAACACACGTGTAGAAGGCCCAGGAAATATCAAGGTCGTTTGGCAGTGAACATGATGCCTAGTAGCAGTAAGGTCCTTTCCCTTTGTCAGACACTTCTTTCACCAGATGAATTGTACACTTTTGCTTAAGCTGTTTTTAGTATAAATCTTTTTAGTATAAATACAATTGTAAGAGCTTGCTGCTGGAGGGCGGCGGGTGTTGAGACCAGAGTAAAGGTGGTATAGGTGTCATTTCTATAATGCTAAAAGTCTCCAGAACTGACTGCAGAAAGAACCAGAGGTATGTGTGTGAGGTAACAGGTCTCAGTCAGTCAAAAACTTCACTGGCAGCTCCTTCCGTCTGAGGAGTTGTGCTTGGAAGAAGTCATGACAGACACCCCACTACACGCCCAAATGTGGCCTCCACATGGCTGAGCTCACCTGGGTACTTCTCAAGCTTAACAAACAACCCCAGGTGCTCAAGCAGCTGAAGGTGGGCTGAACCTGGTGTTCTGCGCTAACATGGATGCCTCAGTCAGGGGAGCAGCCAGCTGGGCTTTGGCATTTTGTGCTGCCTTTATGGAGAGCTCTGATGCAGTCAGGTACTGGAGCTTTTCTACATGGCACAGCTGCCTTACACATGCTTGGGCGATTTTACTGTTTTTTTCCTCTTTTTTTTTTTTTTTTTTTTTTATTTCCCTCACCTTTCATTTCCCTCCCTACTTCCCTCCATCTTTTCTGGGATGGTGACTTGTGGCTGTTGTTACAGAGACTCCAAGGCAGCAATCAGATCACGGATTACGGGACTGTACCTTGTAATTCTAACCCCATCAATTCCTATTCCTGCTCACTAGCTCATACACAAAGGTAGGAGAATCGCACTAATCTGCTTCTCTGAACACTAATGGGTGGCACAGGCACCAAGCCAATGGCACTTCTGGAGTGACAGCAATGGCCGTAGCATACCACGAATCTTTCTGGCCTTCTTGGGTCAGAAAGGAGAGGGAAAAGTCTGAGAGGAAAGACAAGACAGCTTTCAAGAACAGAGTGGAGATCCCACTAGACTCATGTCAGATAGGGGCACAGGGATTCAACTAGGTGCAGCAAGGCAAAGTCTGGTGCTGGAGCAGATGAAGAAATGAATTGTCAGTAAGTTATTGGGGAGAGGAGGTGCAGGCATTTGGAGACTCTTCTCTGACGTTACTTTTACAGTCCAGATTCTTGGCTGGAAGTGATACGAGAAGCCCTGTAGAAGAGTTGGCTTTGATCACAGCCAGGACCCATGGCCAACTTCAAGAAGAAAGTTTAAAAACATCTAGCAATAACAGAGTCATTGGGTTGGTGCCTTTTGGTATAAGAATGCCTGAAAATTGTAAAGCTCTGTGCTTGCTGATCTGTGAATCTCAATGGCACTTGGCATTTTCTCAACTGTTGCTCGGGGTGTAATGCTTTATTATAACTCACTGTCCTCTGCTTCGTACTGACTGGCTGATCTGCCAAGTTAACCACACTACCCTTTGCTTTTCAAGGTGTTCATCAAGTGTGTGTATCACTTAGTGCCACAGCCAACAGGACTAACGTGCAAAAGCAGAGTGAGTCTGTTGGGAAAAACAGCCTTAATCCTGCTAAGATTAGAGTGTGTGCTACAGGGAGTGTGAAGCTGCCATGCTTTGATGCAAGTGTGGGGAAGAGTCCCTTGGGCAGGGAAAGATTTGACTCCAGGCTGAGTGCTTCTGAAGCTGTCTCCATGCTGCAGTCTGTGGCAATTTTAGCAAGGTACATGTGTGGTGTTGGTTTGGGACCAAGTAGTTGAGAAGCTGTAGCTGCATGAGCTGGGCAAGCCTACTTGGGGTATACTGGTACGTTTTTGATGGCTGAAGTTTATGTTATCACCTTTGTTAGCAGACCTAGCTTGGTACAATTGCCAGTGTTACCACTGACATCCCAGTTGCAAAATAGACAATGTTAGGCTCAGGCATGTTGCTGTATATGCCCTGTGTCAAAACTGCTTTCATAAAGAAAAAAAGACATGTCATTGTCATAGGAGACTCCCTTCTGAAGGGAACAGAAGGCCCAATATGCAGACTGGACCCACTTAGGAAAGTCTGCTGCTTGCCTGGGGCCCTGGCTAAAGATGTGAAGCGAAAGCTTCCTACCCTGGTATGGCCCTCAGATTATTAGCCATTATTGATTTTTCAGGTAGGCAGCGATGAAGTTGCAACAAGCCAGCAGATCAATTCCTGGCTCCAAGCCTGGTGTCACTGGCAAAATTTGGGGTTTTTGATCGTGGGTGGTTTAGATGACACCAGGCCTGCTGGTAACAGATTGGGTACCCCTGTCTCAAAGGGGGAAAAGGATCTTTGCACAGGAGTTAGCAGGGCTCATTGAAAGAGCTTTAAACTAGATTTGAAGGGGGAAAGGGATAAAACCAGGCTCGCTAGAGATAATCCTGGGGGTGACGTGCCAGTGTTTGAGAGACGGTGTGTTAGCGAGGTCCTTTGCTCAGCTCAGTGGAGGTAGGGGATGGAGATCCATGTGGCAGCAAAGACGCAAGGGTTATGGATGTGTTAGAAACCACGCAAGCACCTGAGAATGGTCACGTAGGAACTGGGGCTTCTCATACTCAAAAGGTGGCAGGATCAATAGCCCAACTGAAGTGTGTCTACACCAATGCACACAGCATGGGCAACAAACAAGGGGAGCTGGAAGCCATTGTGCAGCAGGAAATCTGTGATATAGTTGCCATCACGGAAACATGGTGGGATGACTTGCACAGCTGGTGTGCTGCAATGGATGGCTATAAAGTCTTCAGAAGGGATAGGCAAGGAAGGAGAGGCAGTAGGTAGCCCTGTATGTTAGGGAGTGTTTTGACTGTCTAGAGCTTAATGATGGTGATGATAGGGTTGAGTGTTTATGGGTAAGAATCAGGGGGAAGGCCAACAAGGCAGGTATCATGGTGGGAGTCTGTTATAGACCATGCAACCAGGACGAAGAGGCAGACAAAATATTCTACAAGCAGCTCAGATAAGTCTCACAATCGCTAGCCCTTGTTCTTGTGGGGGACTTAACTTACTAGATGTCTGCTGGAAATACAATACAGCAGAGAGGAAACAGTCTAGGAGATTCCTGGCGTGTGTTGAAGATAACTTCCTGACACAGCTGGTGAGTGAGCCAACTAGGGAAGGCACCCTGCTGGACCTGTTGCTCACTAACAGAGAAGGACTTGTGGGTGATGTGATGGTTGGGGCTGTCTTGGGCATAGTGATCACAAAATGAGAGTTTTTGATTCTTGGAGAAGTAAGGAGGGGGATCAGCAGAACTGCCAGCTTGGACTTCTGGAGGGCCGACTTTGGCCTGTTTAGGAAACTGGTTGACAGAGTCCCTTGGGAGGCAGTCCTGAAGGGCAAAGGAGTCCAGGAAGGCTGGACATTCTTCAAGAAGGAAATCTTAAAGGTGCAGGAGCAGGCCATCCCCATGTGCTGAAAGACAAGCTGGTGGGGAAGAAGGCTTGCCTGGCTGAACAGAGAGCTTTGGCTGGAACTCAGGAAAAAAAAACAAATGGGGAGTTTATCACCTTTGGAAGAAGGGGCAGGCAACTCAAGAGGACTACAAGTATGTTGTGAAGTTATACAGGGAGAAAATTAGAAGGGCCAAAGCCCAATTAGAACTTAGTCTGGCTACTGCTGTAAAAGACAACAAAAAACGTTTCTGTAAATATATCAGCAACAAAAGGAGGGCTAAGGAGAATATTCACCCTTGATTGGATGTGGGGGGAAACAGTGATAAAGGATGAGGAGAAGGCTGAGGTACTTAATGCTGCCTTTGCCTCAATCTTTAACAGTAAGACAAGTTGTTCTCTGGGAACCCAGCCCCCTGAGCTGGAAGACAGGGATGGGGAGCAGAATGAAGGCCCCATAATACAAGGGAAAGTGGTTAGCAACCTGCTACACTGTTTAGGCACACACAGGTCTATGGGGCTGGATGGGATCCACCCAAGGGTACCGAGGAAATTGGCAGAAGTGCTCACCAAGCCTTTCCATCGTTTATCAGCAGTCCTGGCTAACCGGTGAGGTCCCAGTTGACTGGAGGTTAGCAAATGTGACGCCCACCTACAAGAAGGGCCAGAAGGAGGATCCAGGGAACTACAGGCCTGTCAGTCTGACCTTGGTGCCAGGGAAGGTTATGGAGCAGATTGTTTTGAGTGCCATCACATGGCACATACAGGACAACCAGGTTATCAGGCCCAGCCAGCGTTGGTTTATGGAAGGCAGGTCCTGCTTGACTAACCTGATCTTCTATGACAAGGTGATCTGCTTAGTGGATGAGGGAAAGGCTGTGCATGCTGTCTACCTAGACTTTAGTAAAGCCTTTGACACCATCTTCCACAGCATTCTCTTGGAGAAGTTGGATGCTCATGGCTTGGTTGGGTGTACTCTTCGCTGGGTAAAAAACTGCCTGGATGGCTGGGCCCAAAGAGTTGTGGTGAATGGAGTTAAATCCAGTTGGTGGCCAGTCAAAAGTGGTGTTCCCCAGGGCTCAGTATTGGGGCCAGTTCTGCTTAATATCTTTATCAATGATATGAATGAGGGGATTGAGTGCACCCTCAGTAAGTTTGCAGATGACACCAAGTTGGGTGGGAGGGTTGTTCTGCTCGAGGGTAGGAAGGCTCTACAGAGGGATCTGGACAGGCTGGATTGATGGGCTGAGGCCAATTGTATGAGGTTCAACAAGGCCAAATGCCGGGTCCTGCACTTGGGTCACAGCACCCCCATGCAACACTACAGGCTTGGGGAAGAGTGGCTGGAAAGCTGCCCGACGGAAGAAGACCTGGGGGAGTTGTTTGACAGCCGGCTGAATGTGAGCCAGCAGTGTGCCCAGGTGGCAAGAAGGCCAACAACATCTTGGCCTGCACCAGAAATAGTGTGGCCAGCAGGAGCAGGGAAGTGATTGTCCCCCTGTACTCGGCGCTGGTGAGTCTGCACCTCAAATACTGTGTTCAGTTTTGGGCCCCTCACTACAAGAAAGACATTGAGGTGCTGGAGTGTGTCCAAAGAAGAGCAACAGAGCTGGTGAAGGGTCTAGAGCACAAGTCTGATGAGGAGCAGCTGAGGGAACTGGGGTTGTTTAGTCTGGAGGAGAGAAGGCTGAGGGGAGACCTTACTGTTTTCTACAACTACCTGAAAGGAGGTTGTAGCAAGGTGGGTGTTGGTCTCTTCCCAAGTAGCAAGGATAGGATGAGAGGAAATGGCTTCAAGTTGCACCAGGGGAGGATTAGATTGGATATTAGGAAAAATTTCTTCACTGAAGGGGTTGTCAAGCATTGGAACAGGCTGGCCAGGGAAGTGGTTGAGTCATCATCCCTGGAGGTATTTAAAGGATGTGTAGATGTGGTGCTTAGGGACATGGTTTAGTGGTGGACTTGGCAATGCTAGGTTAACAATTGGACTCAATGATCTTAAAGGTCTTTTCCAACCTAAACGATTCTATGATTCTATGGCTGTTGCATGGAGAAGACTGACACTGAGTCACATGTGAGCTTCCAGAGGATGCAGAGCTGTGGAGTTGTGCAGGCCTCACACTTCCCACTGAAACACTATTGGCTGTATAGCCCTTTTGATGACAGTGGGTCTTCCCCTGTCTTGACCCAATGGAGGTGCACTCCCATGGTAGAGGTAGGCAGCTGGCCTATTGTTTTCTCTGGGGGCCCATCATCCAGAGTATTGGCCTAATAAGGTGTGATTCTTCCTGGTGAAGAAATAGAGGTGATCTGATGGAAAACTGCCAAAACCTTTAGCAGGATGTTCAGCTGTTGAGTGGCTTTGGTGCAGAGTAGAACTGTGGAGCAGCCCAATTTCCCAGTGTATTAAGGAA